GAAGAGGAAGCAAAGAGGCAGGGAGCGTCACCGGTGGCCGCGTGAGCCGTATCGCCGTGCGTGCATCCCATGGATGGCAATGGCAATATTCAGTGGGCGCAAGGACATGGGCTGGCAGGACATCCACACTGATCCGACGCATAGGTGTTCATTTGGTCGTCATAAAGAATACCGCGCCCACAACTCTAGCAAACTTCAAAGTCAAAGTTACCTTGAGTTCGACTATATTTATACTAAAAAAAATATCAATATTTATGATATTAAACGAGCATCATTGGGCCTGTTCGTTTGGATGAATCTGGAGGAATTTATAAGAGCGTGAACAGTGTTTTTCATCCGGGAACAGTGAAATCCGGCTGGTTTTCATACCAGCCGAACGCAGCCATTATATCCATAATAGAGTATATTTTACTAATATCCATAACAAGATATATATTTAAATAGTATATCTATTTGATGTTATACATATCAATACGGTTTTCTATAAGTCTATCCAAAGTTTAGATACATTTAGCTAATGATGGAACTAGCTAGAATTATATCATTTTCAGCACGAAGGTAGTAAGATTTTGCTTCAAGATGTGTTCGTCTGCTTCTTATTTGCTTGCTATTTTTAGTCGGCACACACAATCTAAGAATTTGCGCACCGTGCTCTGGACCGCCGATGGTGTCGTTCACCTCCACGCCGATGTGGAGGGGAATAGAGAGAAGAGAAAAAGGAACAGACGTGAGATTTATATAAAATAAACATGCTGATATGTGGGCCTCACTAGCACATGTCGTTCATGTCAGTGGTACCATCCTTCAAAACAGCTAGATGGCTAAATCCGCCGTGCCCTCCAGGGCCGTGCCTTATAGAGCCACGGGCCTGTCCAGCAGCCCAGGCACGGCACTTTGGGCTGTTTTTCGGGTCGGGCCGGCCCGTGAAGCATGGCAAAAACAGCAGATTGTGCCGGCCCGCGGCCCACTACGCAGCAGATCTAAAGCAGAGAGGGGAAGCGGCGAGGAGCAGAGCGGAGAAGGGGAGGCGAGTCGCACGCGCCCTGCCTCCCGACCGGCGAGGTGAGGAGCCCCGAGCCCGCGGCGGCGCACCTGACCGGCAGAGTGGAGTAGGTGAGGAGCCCAGCGAGGTAGCGACCGGGCGCACCCCGAGGCTGGCGCTCTCGCTCCCAAGGGCTGGTCCAAGCCAACCGCGGCAGGCAGCGGCGCATCCCACGGCGAGAGCTAAGAGAAGGGAAGGGAAGGACGAAGGCGGAGCGAGCCAGGCGAGCGGGGCGGGACGCAATGAGCAGCAAGTGTGCATCCGGAGGAGGCGCTGGAGCCGCTTCGCTGCGACGCTGCCTCGCACGGCTCGCAAGTGGAGAGTGCGGGCGTGCGGCGCGAGGGGTACGGTGGATTGGGGAAAGAAGTTAGGGTGAAGAGGAAGGAGGCTGGTGGGCTCTTTTTTTTAGCAAAAGGCTGGTGTGCTCTTAGCAGGCTAGGGTGGTTACCGAGCTGCCACTGGGCCTCCCACCAAATTACGGGCCGTGCCGAGCCAGGCCGCGTGCCTAGGGTGCGGCCCAGGCATGACCCTGTGTACCGGGCCATGCCAGCCCGGGCCCGCTCGCCACCTGGTCGGGCTGTGCTCGTGTCGGGCCAAAAGTGCGGGCTTCGTGCCGGACCATCGTGCCAAGGGCTGCTTGCCCATATATATCAACAACCGTCTGGTCAATTTACAGGTACTACTACTCCCTCTGTTATAAGTCGTTTTGACTTTTTTGATTCATCCATTTTGCTATGCATCTAGACATGGATGAACCAAAAAAGTTAAAGCGACTTATAATTTGGAACAGAGGGAGTAGTATATTATTACCAGTATTATCCCTCGTGAGTTGTGACAGGGAAGGGAAGCATCCTCATGAGTAGGGATGAAAACGATACGGATATTTTCCGATCGTATTCGAGATCGAATCTGTTTAGAGGGGTTCCGATCTGTTCGTATCCGAGTCCGAATATTCAACATCCGATACTGTATCCGTATCCGAATACTAAAATCGCATATTTATGATATCGATATCCAATCGTACTCTATCCGGCATGGTTGATACTATCTGAATTAAAATATGAAAACAAATATAATATCAGTTATATCCGTTCGTACCCTATCCGTTTTCGTCACACCAGCGTGACTCGCGTGCGCGTCCTGTCGGTCTGTGCGCCAGCCATTTGGCGCGTTCCTGCCTGCGCCAGGAATGGCCACGGCCGACAGCGTCTTTGTTCTTGTTCTTTCTTGGAACAGGAATTGGCTGGTTCTCCTGGACCTGTCAGTCAGTACTCAGTAGTCAGCCAGCTGAATACTCCAATCCAGCGCCCCCATAGTTTTCTACTCCGTCGACTTCTCGGCGCCGCCGGCAGACGAGCTCCGTGGACACGGCCACCCGCGCACGGCGCGCACGTCGTCACTGACCTGAGACCTTCCTTGTTCAGTTCAGCTCAGCCTCAGCTGCATGGATTTGGCTGGATCTGCCCGTTGTGGCACGGACAGGACAGGCAGCGAGGGCACCGTGCTAGCTGCTAGCTCCGCCTCCGGCCACATTTCAATGGCAGCGAGGACAGGACAAGCAGGACGGACGGTACTCGTACAGCGGTGACCCCAGGTACGACGTCTTGTCGTGCCTGCCGCGTGCAGCCAACTCATGGGATTTCGGATCTGCGCCTGCACGGGCACTGCGCACCGCGTCCGTTTGTCGTTAGACTATCTTCAACGGCACAGATCTAAATCGGACATCCATTGGGTCACACACAGAAAAAATGTCACGCATCCTAAACTTACATTCTCCAACAGCCTACTCAAAAGCCCGTCCCTCTCTCCTCAATCTATCTCCCCCACGCCACCCGTTCCCGTCCCTCTCTCCCTCTTTACCCCGGCGCCGTCCGTCCCTCTCTCCCCTCCCTCTCGGATCCGGTCGGCGGTGGCACCCCTCCCTCCCGCATCCGGCGGTCGTGGGTGATGAGGAACCCGGATCCCCGACGGCCGTGCCCCGCTTCCTGCCTCGCCACAGTACCCGCCGGCCGCGCCTCGAGGCAGACCTCGCCGCGCCGGCTCCTCGCCGCCCGTTCCTGTCCCTCTCTCCCTCTCTACCCCGGTGTCGCCCGTCCCTCTCTCCCCTCCCTCGTTGAGCACGGCGCCCCTCCCTCCCTTCCGGATTCGACCGGCGTCGGCACCCTCTCTCCGGATCCGGCGGTCGTGGGCGAGGAGGACCCCGGATCCCCTCTCCCCGACGGCCGCGCCCCGTTCCCCGCCTCGACGCGGTACCCGCCGGCCGCGCCTCGAGGCGGACCTCGCCGCGCCGGCTCCTCGTCGCAGTGGTCCGCCTAGCCGCGCCTCGCTGCGCCCCGCTCCTACGGGCCCACCACTATGACACCAGAGATTTGCTTCGGTCTCTCTCGACGACGCAGATTTGCGTTTCGGCAAGCCTCGTAAGCAAAATGGTGAGGTGTTTGGGTCTTCTATTAGAGCGATGTATTTTTGTAGGCAAAACACCAGGAATGACCTATTTTGTGTTTGGGTGACGGTTTGCACGCTGTGTCGCAGACAGTCTTAACGCATTCACTCAACTCGAGGCAGCCAAGAGTTTGACAGGTCATGGCAGAGAGACAGAGCCGATAGCGGCAGGGCAGAGCGCCTGTCCCTGTCCGTATCGGGCTGCGCAACGGACGTGTATGCTCTGGCGGCTGGCGCAGTAGTCACGTTTTCTTCTTTTCATCAAGATGCCAGCGTGCATTTTTCAGACCAGAGCACAGCTTGGAATTTCGGGTCCAAGAAAAATAGAAAATGCTTACTAGGAGCAGTAGTATTACCATAAGTGTCAATATTTTCTTGTATATACTTGGTTAAAATTGAGTTCGTTTGAGTGAGAACGATAGATAAAAAAGAACGGAAGAAATAACTTTGATGACTGCTGCTGTTAAGTGTTAACCAAACAACCAAACATGCCGCTCGCATTTTGACGCTACAGGAAGAGTATAGGTGGCTTTTTTCTGCCTCGTCTCGCCACGTAAACGTTAATGTTCAAACACAAGCCAGTTCAATCTGATCGGTCTGGATGCGACCTTGCTTCCCAGCTGTATACAGAAAACACTACTAATTTAGAACTTGTTCGGTTGATCTCCTATCCAAAACGATTGGAAAGAGTTAGGATGATTTTGACCTTTATAGAATTTGATTTCCTTCAATCTTTAATAACACCCTTCAATCCTTCTTCAATCTCCACTAGAATGAACAAGGCCTTACATAGGTAGAACAAGGCCCTACATAGGCCCTGAAACAAGTAAATTTTGCTTCAAACTTCCTACCTTCTGCTATCAAGAATAACTTGAATGTTCATCAAGAGCTACATGCACAAATGAATGTGCTGTTCACCTTTTCTAGTTTTCTCATGAAGACAAGAATAATTCATTGAGCATATATAAGCATATGACGGCAGCCTGTTTTTTCTCCCCCATGGTACAAGGGGTTAAGGCTTCCTCCGACAAAGTGTTTTATTTTTTTGTACCAGTATCCGTGTCCGTCAGTAGATGTATATATCAAAAGAGTTATATGTACCGGTAAGGACACTTATTTTGGGACGGAGAGCCCAGGAGCGATGGATAATGACTCACGGTTCCAAATGTCAATTGCGTGGTACAAGTCAAAAAACGACGCCCGACCAAATTTCCATAGATTGAACCTGAACACGACACTTCCAAGCATCAATGAAGGCTAGTCGTAGCCTGAAACAAAATTCCTTAAACAAGGAGCCCTTATGTGCAAAAGTGACGGTACCAGAAGAAGTATAAATTTTCGTATCTTTTTGCCTGCCATTTCTGCCGCGCCCGCTGCCTGCCTGTGCCTGCCGCCTGCCGCCCCCTGCTTCCTCTTCTTTCCCCTCCTCGTCAAGCTCCCCTGAATCGCGGCAGCAGCACCGGAGCAGCCAAGGGCAAAGGATTTTCCCCGCTCCGAATCTACCCGGCTCGGCCCGATGGGCTCGCTGATGTCCTGCCTCTCCGACCCCTGCCCATCGGGGAACAGGTCCCCGCCGCTGCAGGCGAAGCGGCGCTCCTCCACCTCTTCCCGCGGCCGTGGCGGCGGCGGCGGGAGGGACTCCGCCAAGGCCTCCGTGTCCATAGACGAGGAGGCGCTGGCCGCGGCGGCGGCGCTCGTGCTGGGGCAGAGGGGCGCCGCCGGTGGCCTGGGGGCGTTCGAGCGGTCCGCGTCGGTGCGGTACGCGGCCAAGCGCCAGAGCCAGGGCCCGCCGCTGCCCCGGAGCTGCAGCACGCGCCCCAGGTCGCTCGCTGACCCCGAGCTCCAGCCGCAGCAGCTCCTCTCCAAGGTGAGAATCCTGCCATACTACTCCTTCCTCCATAGCTTGCTTGGCTTGCCCGCCTCTCGTCCCCCATTGCTTGGTTCGGTTGGTCATTGGTATGCGTCCCGCCGCGTGCGCCGCGCTGAATTCTCGTGCAGTCTCGTTTGACTTTATGCCTTCGTTTCTGCGAGTTTCCACTGCGATTGGCTGTCCTTGCGTCGAATGTAAGGAACGCAGGGGCTATGGGATCCCCCTACTCGGTTCTCTCGCTGTCGCGGTTCTATTTTCTTACGTTTCTTTCGATGAAATTTAGATTCCTTTCATGTTTGCTCGATTCATTTGACTCAGTTCCAGAAAGGCATGATCTTTGGTTGTTCAGATTTTTCTCGTTTTTCTGATTTATTGTCTTGCATCATGGCATGCCTCAATGCCTGGCCAGTTTGCAATTTAATTCGATGCTGCTTCGAGGACGAATATACCTCTGATTTGTTTCTACGAAAGTACGAATTGGCTCTGGTAAGAACTAGGCAGGCGATTACATTTCCCACTTCGTGACTGTCTAGTGGGACCGGGCAATCTGGTTAACATAGGCCATAGCCCATATGTGGGCGAGACCGTTAAAATCGGAACGCCTGCAAATCCGAACCGGTGCAATGCACGTGCTTGCTTCCATCTGTAGTTATCAACATATAGACTAAGACCTGACTTTAACATCTGTAGTTGATGAATACTCTTGAGAGGAGTGTGAACAAGTTGTTATCTCACAACGACCAAGCACTGATCTGGTCAAAATTTAGAGGATCTGGGAAACTTCGGTTGTTGACTGATAGTGGTTGGTCATACATTGGTTTTGTTCAGAAGCTCTTATGCATAGGGGCTGTAGAAACTGATTGATTGTTGCTTCTATCTCTGGCGTGGTCATATTGGCTTGTGTGTTCGTTGCTCTGGAGAAAGGACAAAGGAGAGCCTAGGAGGTCCCAACTTGTGCATTGGTGGGGGATCTGGATATTGTTTACTTCAAATTGTTTCAGTATCGACACAAGATATTCTGTTCCCAAGTTTGCCCTGATCATGAACGGGATGGGCAGCCGGCATGGCTACTAATTTATCTTGAGTATATTATATACTGGCATTTCTTACTACTAACAGTGGTGTTGACTAGTAAGAGGATAGTGCCCACTAAGGAAACCGAGGATGATTGGGATTGGGAGGTTTGTGTTTGACATTTTCAGTCATCTGTCAGATACCGAATGCAGACGCTGGTATTCAAAATTTGTTGGAAACTGTGAAAAGTTGAACAGAATCAGCATGGTATTTGACATTTAGAAGCGTTTCTTTCTTTTCGTGCTTATCAGCAAACAATCATCTCCACAGTCCACATTTGTGACTCAGTATATTGTGTGCATATTTATAAGGACCTCAGATACTTTGTCTTTGTCTAGTTTCCTCCCATTTGAATTCTAGTGTTTGACAACTCGTGTTCCTGGATTTATATAACCGCAATTTTTTACTTCATTTCTCAAACAGGATTTGAATACTAAGGATTTGGAAACCAACGTCATTGTTCTTGTTCATGGAGGTGGATTTGGTGCTTGGTGTTGGTACAAGACTATATCACTTCTTGAAGATAGTGGGTTCAAAGTTAACGCCATCGACTTAACAGGCTCTGGGATTCATTCTTACGACACAAACAAGATTAGCAGTCTTTCAGAGTACGCTGAACCACTTACGTCTTACCTTAAAGGCTTAGGTGGTGCTGAAAAGGTTAGCTCTCTTTCCATATATCAATTTTAGATACTTTGAATATTTAGAAAGTTACATTCGATTTGGGATCTTGTAGTATCCATTGACTACTGTGGCACTGTGCATGATATTTGGTAATTTACCCGCTTTCATGCTTCGACTGTAGTCCTTAACAATCTTATAATAAAAACTGGGATGACAGCTACTAAACTACCATTAGCTGAGAGTTCTATAATGGCAAAGTAATACTTGTTCCTGCAAAAAAATTGTATTCTACATTTCTGCATAAGCATGGTAAGTTGCAGGCACATGGATTTTGGTACAGCGCCATACTTTAGGATCTTGTAGGCCGCCAATGGTATCTTCTTCCATCTCGCACATTGTAGGTAAAAATAGATAGTGCATCAGCATGAAAACTGTGAGTGAAGTGTTAATCTAAATGTCAATGGACTCGGGTTGGACTTTACACTTTTGGGATGGTAAGATTTTAATAGTGTTACATTTAGTCACCCAATGTACAAATACTGAAGTAGGAAAAAACCATAGACATAAGTACAATATGCCTGACATTCTGTGGAATCAATTTTGTAAGTGCTAGATTCTCTAGACTTTTTCTTTCTGTAAAGATCACAATCATAACTAATTCTCAAATCCCAGACTGAAGTGGTCCCAGATTATGGTGCAGCACCTAAGCCCCCACCTAACTTTAGTTATGATTTGATGCTTGGGAATGACAATATTATTATGTATGCACCAGTGACTTAGGTAGTTGAGTGCCACTCAAGTCGATCTGTATCTCTTAAAACAATCCCTGGAAATATTTTGTGTACACTACAATGCATCATCTCAATATTTTCCAAGCTTTTTTAGATAAGTTTTTAGCAATGCCAATATTGATATTTCAAAGCATCATATGAACTTTTCAAGAGACTTTTGTACTAGTGTGTTTAGACTTATGTGAAGATCCCTGCTTTGTTTGATTTTGTTTTGAGCATATTCCTATCTGACCAGAAATATAACAATCGAATACCTCCAACATTATGCAGGTAATTTTGGTCGCTCATGATCTTGGTGGTGTCTGTGTATCCTATGCAATGGAGATGTTCCCACCCAAAGTTGCCAAGGCCGTTTTCCTTTGTGCAGCAATGCTGACAAATGGAAACAGTGCCCTTGACATGTTCCAACAGCAGGTTGGTCTCCTGTCCCAGAGTTAATTTGTTGAACAATTGACATTATTAACGAATCAAAAAGACAAGCAGCTCGCTCGGATGGTGCATTGAACAGTAGATTTTGGCTTGTTTTTTATGATTAAATAGTATTCTGTGAGAGAGAATAAGCTGAAACAAGCTGAAACAAGCCAAGATTATACCAGCCGAACGCAGTGAAGAACATTAAATGTTGCCTTGTCTGGCATCAAAATTAGCACTGTCTCCTATGATTATGTCCTGATGCCGTCCTTCCACTCCAGATGGGCACAAACGGTACTCTCCAAAAGGCGCAGGAATTCGTCTACTCCAACGGCAAGGACCGTCCTCCAACCGCCATCAACATCGACAGGGCCTTGCTTAGAGACCTGTTGTTCAACCAGAGCCCCTCAAAGGTAGGACTTTGGAGTACTCTGTTACTGTCACTGACAATCACCTCCAATCAAATCACTGAATCCTAGTTCTGAATTCTGAAGTTGTGACACCCCCAACCTTGTGCTTGTGCAGGACGTGTCGCTGGCCTCGGTGTCCATGAGGCCCATCCCCTTCGCTCCTGTGCTGGAGAAGCTTGTGCTCACTGCCGAGAACTACGGCTCGGTGCGGCGGTTCTATGTGGAGACCACGGAGGACAACGCAATTCCTCTGCCTCTCCAGCAGAGCATGTGTGGTGCCAACCCACCGGAGAAGGTGCTGCGGCTGAAAGGGGCGGACCACGCACCCTTCTTCTCCAAGCCGCAGGCGCTGCACAAGACCCTGGTCGAGATCGCCACCATGCCGCCACCGGTCCAGGCTTCGTGAGATCGTGTTTGTTTAGCTTCAGGTTTTGCTGGCCGGTGAGCTTGCATGGCTGTTGTACATGCTGAGGATGGTATGGTTTGTGGCGGTGTGGCAGCAAGTAGGGGCTCTAGAATTTCAGCGTCGTCTCGACGAAGGCATCCTTCCATTATACACTCACATCTGGCATCATTTTTTTTAAGGGAAAAAACAAATCTTATTCCGGCCTCTAACGGCTTATTAGCAGATTAATAGATCATTTCGGAATGGGATATACATCCCATACAGCGACGGAGCTTGCATGAATGTGTAGGGGGGGCCAATTCAAAGGTACACTGCTACAGTATTTACCAATAGTAGTACAGACAATTGGAATTCTGTGGAAAATCTTTGTTTTTTCAAGTTCTATCTATATATACTGCAATGAACAATTGAAATCCTGTCAAAGAAGAATGAACAATGTATAGATTTATATACTTGTTAGCTGTAATCCACTAATCAGCAACAACAAACATGGTACCAGAGATGCAGAAATTAATTGCATACATGCAGCAACATGCAAACCTGTAGAGTGCAGTCGGAGCAAGGGGGGGCCAGGACCCAGTTTGGCCCCCACGTAGCTCGGTCCGTGATCCCATATACCGGATCAAATAAAGACTTTAGGCTTCCATCAAGCCACTACTACATCGATTTCTTTAGGAATTGAGCATCTTTTAACAAAACCCTCTAAAAGATGGTTAGTCCAAGACGCGGAACAACAGAGTTTTCTTTTGGAGAAACACTATTATTATGGAGCTGTACACGTGGTAGAAAAATTACGCCAATCCGTTGAGATATGGTATGCTACAAGTGAATATTTGAAACAAGAAATGAATTCGAATTCTCGAATAACCGATCATTTTAATCCAGTCTATCTAATGTCTTTTTCAGGAGCCAAAGGAAATGCATCTCACGTACACCAATTAGTAGATATGAGAGGGTTAATGGCGGATCCTCAAGGACAAATGATTGATTTACCTATTCAAAGCAATTTACGCGAGGGACTTTCTTCGACAGAATATATAAAGCCCGAAAAGGGGTTGTAGATACTGCTGTACGAACAACGGATGCTGGCTATCTTACACATAGATTTGTTGAAGTAGTTCAACATATTATTGTGCGTAGAATTTTACAATCAACCATTTCATTACATAGTTCAACCTCGTGCTAGATTTAGAGAGCTCATAAAAAGCAAATAAAATTAAAGACCAGTAAACTAAACACTAAGCCCCCTTTGAAACGTAGGAATTTCACTGAAATGGTGTAGAAATTTTATAAGAATCGATTTATTCTCACGGAAAAAACGTAGAAAACAGAAAAAAAAATCTTGCAATCCAAAAGGACCCTAAACTTATTAGAAGTGTCAGCAAGCCGTGGCTGAAGATGGCCGGTGTGGGGTTGAGCGGTCACACGAGAGCACAACAGTCACACATTAGAGTTTGCGGTCGCGAAACTTTTGTGCATGTCACTATATGGCCCTGTTCGCTTGGAGGAATTTGGAGGAATTTGTGAGAGCGTGAACAATATTTTTCATCCGGGAACAGTGTTTTTCGGCTGGTATTTGCACCGGCCGAACGGCCCCTATATTGGGAGATTTAAAATGGTCTACCTTCTGTGTAAAGTATGACATGCTTGCGTGCATCATTGCATATCTACGTGTATTATTTCATGTATCACGCTTATTATCTTTCGCTTTAGTCTTAACTAGCAAACATATCCATGCGTTGTAACGGGAGTAAACAACCATCAAACATTTATGGAAAATACAGACCGGAACGGCATATATCTATTTGTTGTTTTACCCTTTCCTATAAAATTTTAAATCTATATTTGTTTTACGATGACAATGACATGCATACTATAGATTAATGTTGATAATAATATAACAATGACATATTAAGCTTGTATCAAATTTAAAATACAATTTTGATAGTTTTTTTTCTTCTCCTATACAACTAAAAAGACTAAAAGTAAGACTATTTTTTGGTGTGACTTTTTTTGGGGTCGCTCCTCACTTCCGGCCTTGCGATACCCCGCGCGATAGAAAAAGAAACTGTCATCCCTGCGATCCCCGTCTGCTTTGAAGGAAACAAATCGATCACCTGAGGCCACATGTATGGAAGGAAACAATAATCATGCATGGAAGGAAACAATTGGCAAAGATCAAGCAAGACTCCTCCCTTCCGGCCATGCGATACCCCGCGCGATAGAAAAAGAAATTACCATCTCTACGATCCCCGCCTGCTTTGAAGGAAACAAATCGATCACCTGAGGCCACATGCATGGAAGAAAACAATAATCATGCATGAAAGGAAACAATTGGCAAAGATCAAGCAAGACTTCTCCCTTCCGGCCATGCGATACCCCGCGCGATAGAAAAAAGAAACTGCCATCCCTGCGATCACCGCCTGCTTTGAAGGAAAAATCGATCACCTGAGACCACATGCATGGAAGGAAACAATAATCATGCATGGAAGGAAACAATTGACAAAGATCAAGCAAGATGACTCAATGAAATTGGCCCTTAATTTTAGTGTTTCCAGCATGCAGACCTGAAATTAAAAAGTGGCTGCTCCTTGAGAACATCACTAACATCAGTAGTGCCAAGTAAAAGATGTGCAGGTTATACATGGTGAGACTGGTGAACCTTCTGCAAATTCGTAAACGAATATTCCCACCATTCGTATATAGGTCCATTCCCCTGCGTTTCTTCGTGCTCCAATTAGCATATAATATGAAAGTATTGTTGTGTTCATCACGTCTTCTAGTTGACTACTTCCATTAGCATATACTTCCTCTGCCCCAAAATATAAGTCGTTATGGGTTATGTGTAAGTCAAACTTTCTCAACTTTAACTAGGTTTGTAAAAAATACGTGCAACATTTATATCTCCAAATAAATTTATTATGAAAATATATTCAATGGTCTATGTAATGATACTAATTATGTATTATAAATATTAATATTATTTTATATATAATTGGTCGAAGTTAAAAAAAAGTTGACTTCTCGGGAAGCGAGAATGAATTCTATTTTGGGACAGAGGGAGTATATGAAAGCAGTGTTGAAAATATTTTAACATTCAAGTTCGTCTCTGTCTGATTGGTAAGCTTAGACAATCATAATGGTATCAAAAATTTCGACTCTCATGGACACCCTCATGGATCAGTGCAAAGCATCTTAATCCTATAACATACACAAATGGTAACCTTAAAGTTATGATATTTTCAAAGGGTGGACAATAAAGACCATCTTAGATGTTTTGACATTAGAGTATATACGTGCAGATACATAGACATGGTGGTGCAAGTAAGCAGCCAGCAGGAGTCGAGAGTTATGGGGTGTTTGGATCCCAGGACTAAACTTTAGTCCCTGTCACATTGAATTTTTAGATATCAATTAGGAGGACTAAACATGAGCTAATTATAAAACTAATTACATACGTTGTGGCTAATTCGCTTGCCAGCGCCGTGTACAGGATGGTATGGAGATGTGGTGGAACTTATTCGTGGATTTGTTGGCGCACGAAAGAAATGTATATCAGAAATCTCTTCCTGCCAGTATAAAAAATGATCTTAGCCGCATCATGGAAAGATCTACACAGTAGAGTTTGTGAGCCTGCGACGCCATGCTCTCTGTGACTGTGTAAATTTCACAAACTTAGCTTTTTGTATTAAATGACACTTTAACGTCGGTCATATACTTTTACAGTATTGTTATCTTATCGTGCGATCCGTGTGTTTTTAGTGCAAAAGTTTAGCTGTCCCGTAGCAACGCACGGGCACGAACCTATTTACATATATACTCGAACCTGTGTGTACATGATTATATAGAGATGCAATGGAACTTATTCATGGATTTATTGACGCATGAAAGAAATGGATATCATAGAATTCTTTCTCACGATATAAAATATTATCTTAGCCGTATCACGAAAAAGTCTATACTGATGAATAGTGCCATTGTGAGGAGAATGCTCTAGTTTGTGAGCTCTGCCATAAAATATTATCGTTAGCCGCTATACTCCGTGAGCTCATGACGTCAAGCTCTCCGTGTGTTAATTTCACGAACTTTGCTTTTTGAATTAAATGTCACTTTGACGTCGGTATTTAATTTAACAGTATTGTTATCTTACCGTGCGATCCGTGTGTTTTTAGTACAAAAGATTTAGTTGTCTGTAGCAACGCACGGGCACGCTACCTAGTTCATTGCAAAAGCACAAAATATTTACTCATAAATAATGAATTGTTTTCTTAAAATATCACTCGGCCAAGCAACCGCTTCATAACTCAGCTATTCGATTACTCAGCCACTGGACCTTTTAAGTAATTAGCCACTCATAGCACTCTGTAACTCTGGACACTTAGCAACTCAATCACTAGTCACTTGGCAACTCCAAATTTCTACTGTCAAATTTGTTGTTCTAGTGGTTTTTTTTTTTACATGCACACAAATAAGTGTCATAATTCTTTGGTTTCGTTGGCATATATGTTTGGCACATATAACTCTTCACCGTGCTACTACTTTTGTATTATTCAGTTTTACTTTTATATCTTTATTATATATCACACAGCTGGTTTCGTATGATTCCCTTTGCTCCGGCAGGCAACAACCAAAAAATATAGCTTGTCAACTAATTATATTAAGATTGCAAGCTGGGGTCAACAAACCTGTACTCGATGTTCCAAAGTTAACCTGATGCGTCGGCTCACGCAGCTCTCGCGTGTCTCCAAGGTCTGCTAGGAGCTGGAGGCCCACCTCGGCATCTCTGACCGCGTCCTCACCGAGTTCGTCGTCGACCTTGGCCACGCCTCCGCCTCCGTGGCCTCCTTCCCCGCCGCGCTCAGGGACCCGGGCGTCGAGCGGCCGGACTACCTTGTCCGCGCCCTCCACGCCGTCATCACCGCCATCCCTATCATCAACGGCGGCACTGCGTGACCCTGAGAAGCGACGGTGTCTATGGGTCACAGAGACGTATATTTTTT